GTCATAACCAGTAGAATTTCAAGTAACGTGAATTCACGTCGGTGATCGGGAATGTGTTAAACCGAGGATTCTTGGCAGCACTGTTTGAGACCCGACCTAAATGGACTCGTGGGCCCCAAAAGTGGTATACGTAGACATCGCGAGCACGATCTACTAAACAGTCGCTATCCAAGTGATCCGTCTAAACTAGGCTACTTGATCCTCTCCAATTTCCTCTCACCCCAAGCACCACCGAATTTAGCCATCGTTAAATCCACGTGGCAGCAAATTACCGAACATTAACGTTAACGGTTTCCACTCCGCGCAGCGCATTTCAACCGTACTCCTCTCTCCGCGCAAAGCAGTTTACAGCCACGGTATCGCGACTTGAGCTTAACGCGCTTCCGCGAGCGAAGCGTGGCCGTCGTCCCGTCGTAGAACGAACGGATGCGAGGTAAATTCGTAGAGCGTCTAATTCGGATAATATTCTACACGGGAATCCTTTCCGCTGAAATCTCTTCTCCCTGGGAAATGCTATTACCGTATCAGTTTAGGGGCGGAACGGAAGGGGTGAGAGTGGGGAGGGGTTGGCGTTAAGCGTCGAGACGGCGGAGAAGATTTCGCGGTGCAAGCTTTTCGTGTACTTAGCCGACCTTGGCAAGACCAAGACTCCTGGCTGGATGCCGTATGCACCAATTTAATAATAAATCGAACCTAGAAGTTGCTCGCTTCCTCCTCGCGGAAGACGTAAGGGGGCGCGCCGAAATGGGCGGGATAGGTGCCCGTTTCTCTCGGGAGCCTTAGGCTCCTTAACTTTGACTACGCTGGTGTTTCATCCGCTGATGTATTATGCACCCGCTGCCTAATTGATTCTTTTCTACTTTCCGCGGTTCCCCCCTGATACTCGATCTTCCCCGAAACAGGTCCCGAACCTCGCAACCTTCTTAGATTCGGAGATTCTCGCTTCCTCTGCATAGATTTTCAAGTATTTTTCGAACGCAAGAAGAAGAAATCGATACATCGCTTGCCAATGTGTAAATGTTATTTATACGAATTCTTAAGGTACGTCTCTTACATGATTGGTAGACCTATGGATATAGCATGTCACAATTATCACAACATCCTGTGTTTTAAAAATTATTAACGGAAAAATTGAACGTCCTAAGATACTAGATCGATTGACATTTAGTATTCCAAGAAAGCTACTTAGAAACAATAATATTTTCTATACTGATTCATGCCGTACCTCAGAATGTGCGACGGCTAACAACCTTAACATGTCTGTTAATATTTTTCATGAATCAACTTCGGCGTTAAAACATTCATTTGCAGCAATTTTGCGTGTGCGTAATCTAGTCAAATATGGTACATAATGATACGCCGTGCTTGCCTCCATTTCTTTGATTTTTATTCTTTTTTTTCGTACTGTATTCGATATCAAGGGCATATTGCCAGTAAATAAAGCAATATTATTATTATTATTGATATTTGCAGCCGTTACAGTAAAGCTACTTCGAAGGTTTCTATTGTCGTTTCCATCAACGCACACGTATCACCCGCCGTCCCTCGGTGTCTCCATGCGCACATTCAATTTTTCAAAATGCAAACGCTCGCAATTTGGATTGTCCCGTCCCCCCGGTGCCACCTACGTTTCCAATACCTCACGTCGTTTAATCTCCCAGCGCAATGGCCGACAAAAAACCGCGAATTCCCCCTAAAATGCCTATTTTCCAGCCCCTTCTGGCATCCTACCAAATCCGTGGAACGGAGTGTCCCGTGTTCCCCGCGCTCGAACAACGCGCGATCGCGTCTCGACGATGAACGACAGAATCGTCATCGCGAATCCGAAGCGACAGCAATCGTGATCGCTCGACGAGAGCCACCCCCGCGTGACGGGGCCACTGCGGTACCCCAACGAAAACCTTTTCCCTGTTCGTCGAGCGCGACGGAGTAATGGTGCATGCGAGTGGAACTTAATCAAATGGTAAACGGGTGGAAAACAAGCAATCGGAGGCATCGAGCCGGCAGCAGCGAGCAGCCGGTTGCAGCGGTGGTAGTCGTCAATCGGAAGGGGGGGTGTAAATCTGATAAAATCATCTCGAACCCCTCCCCGTCGCGGCCCCTCGTGGCACGGCGCTCGTGTTCCTCGCGGATACACTCGATACAGAGCCGAGCTCTAAGTAACGTAAGTAATGTAAGAGGGTGGTTGTTGCTACGGTTGTTATTAAATGAGACAGCCTAATAGGCCCATTACGGACCCCTCCGGTCCATTCCCACATAATATAATCCTCACCGCACGCGCGCGCTGCTCCCTGCTACTATATCAACCCCCGACAAACCCCCTAAACCCCCTTGGTCTCTGCTTCGTCGTGTATCTTGATCCGAGAGCACTCACGCCCACGAAAATTTCATCTGTGGTCCACGCGCGACGCGCGGCTCCGCTTGGCAGCCTGTGTTCTTCTAATTTTGGACCGCCAATCCGACGGAAGGTGACTTTCTCATGGCGCGGCAGAGGTGTGTTGCTTGAAAAGGATATTTTGCGTCGAGAGACGGAGACTTGGGGGTGAGCTCTTGGGAGTTTGAGCTTGTCGAGCAAAGGTTTGGATCTCGTTTGACGACGTTGGTCGTAGAAAGATGGACGTCGTTCAGACAGCGAGATTCTCTGGGATAAACAGAACGAATCGCGACCTATAGATATTTTACGTTTCTAATTCTAATATCGGGTACTGATGAAAACGATACAATTCTGTATCGTTAGGGCGAAGATAAAAATGACAAATGATGTTTTGAAATATCGATGTTGTAAATATGTAGTGCACAAAGTGAACAGATTTTCATAATTTTTTTATAAGTAGAAACAAAATTTGTAGCGAGCTGAATTCACGTCAGTGGTCGCGAATCTGTTAAGAGGTATTACTTGGGGTAGGTGCGAGCTGTAAGAAGGCTGAGTCTCGAGGAGTTTGAGTTGGTTGAGAATGGGTGTTGACGTTATGAACGGATTTAAAGGGTGAAGGGGTTCAAGAATAACATTTCCAACGGGGAAGACGGTCCTCTAGGGCAAAGAAAAGGACTTTAGGTATTGTTTGATGAAGTTTAATGTATGATGTCAAAATATTGCTACTAAAGAAGTTTGAGTCGGTTAATCGTGATCCGTAGGCTGTGGTTGTTAATGTTATTCGTGAAAAGGTATGATCTTCAATAATGAAGAGAAGAATGGTCTCTAAGCTAACTACGAGGAATTTATGTGGCATCGTTTGATGGATGGTTGATTTATAAGATTGAAGTTAAAGGGTTTCAGTTAGTTGATAGTTCAGGTGTTTGGTGACATTAACCCAAGTGTCTAAGACTCACCACTTCAAGGACAGAAAACAAAGTCTTTTTAACGAAGAAAGATGAATCTGTATTGATCTGTAGTTCTTTGAGTCAGTCAAGTCCCATTCACGAGCATTGGATATTTGAACCGTTCGCTGCGCAAATCGATTTACGATCGACCTAACTCCACTTTTTAAAAAATCTTAAATTTAAGTGTCAGAGCCCTTGGTGTAGTCATAACTTTCTGTATTCATGATAACTTTCTGTATTCATGATAACTTTCCTGAATATTAAAGATTAACACCATTAATCGACAAAATTTTTGTAGCCATCGAATAATAAATAATTTATTTCAGAAGCCATTTCATTGCATTTCTCGACTGTTCTTTTTTTATGGAGTTAATCGATTTGTGCAATGAACGACTCATTTGTCCACAATCTTCTTTCTACCGTTCGTAATAAAATTAGAAACGGTTGAACATAGTTTGATCTCGTACCATTCGAGCAAACACGTTCGCCCGCGTGAAATGTCTGGAAGTTCAAGTGCAGGTTCACGCTTCAGGATCGTCATCGATGACCGTCGATTGCTCATGATGGAGTGCGATAACAGACGGGATAGTTATTATTAACTGCGCGTCCGGCACCCATTGCAGTGCAGATTTAACATTGATGGCGCCCGCTAATTCCTTATTAGTAAACATTGATAGCTCCGTTCAGTGGTATTGACGCGTTAATGCGACATGTTAGTTGCACCAAACTAAACTATGCCATGAATCATTGCAAGCAGCAAATACTCCGTTCCAACTGCATTAAATTGGATCATCGTGCGAACCTTTAATTATTCTTCGTAATCCAAGCGGAGGCATGCAGGAAAAACAATTTTTCATAAAAGAAATCATAACTGAAACAAGGCACTGTGACGCTGTGAAGGAACGTACGATGTTTACATTAACATTAAACCTACCATGACCGGTCAAATGAACGTTTTCAAATTTTTGTGTAGAGTTCTTCTACGCAATACATGAATTATATACAATTGTTTCATGCATCATTCAGTTTATTACCACGTGAAATATTAGTGTTGACAGAGTAAATTATGTGATGGGTACACGTCTGTGAATTTCGGGACCGTCGGAAGGCTAACGCGTGACGCCGAAGTTGCGTACGTCTGTTTATTTTACGGATGATTTCAGTTTTAAACTGTTGGCATTTAGAAGCTATACGTGCCTAGTTTGGTAATCTAGGTACCAGAAAATCTGTTTATACAGGTATTTGTTATAGTTTCTTTCACCGAGGCATTTGAAGAATTTATCTCTTCGTGTCCTATTTCCAAATGTTTATGGATGTCTCCTTGTATGCTCCTGAAGGGTTAAATCGAAGGGCTCTACTCGTGCGACGCCTAGTTTGGAGCAACAGTTCCTAAACGAGATTGAATGAACAAATCGACCGCAGTATTTAGTTCAAACGTAGCTCCCTGCTCTTTAAATCTCAGCCTACGATATGAAACATTGCCCGCCTCGAGCACTATCAAGAATCCGGTTGAGATAACCGAACTACCCAAAAAACCTGTCAACTAACAGCCCCCTAGACCAAATTATCGTCCTCTGACCAGACACCTAATCTATTTTCCTGACCAGCGAAAAACAGTGCAACGAACACGATTCACCACTTAGCATAACAAGAAGCAGATGAACATAAAGCAAACGTACCTCGACAGCATAGCCAAGTCCGCCGACGCTTGGTGTCCCAGGAGCGGATTCGCAGCGGCGTCGTTCGGAGGCGAGAATGTCGTTGCTGGGCTGGTAGCACTGGTAGTACACCCGATACCGATACTGGCCGTATTGTTCCTAGTCTCTAACCCGTGGCCCACCGTAGAAGTGCCCCTTTGGCTCGAGTACCTCAGAGGCGTCGGCGAGGACAGTCCTCTTCCAGGGCTGTCGCAGGTCGAACCGATCCGCTGGGAGTTTTGCGTTTGCGGCAGCGGTGAGGCTCTGTCCACGTCCGAGGACTGCCTCTCGCCGGACACGGTGGACGTCGAGTCGACTGGCGGCGATTCAGGCCTGCCGAGGATGCTGGAGATGCTGAAGGACGTGTACTGAGGATTACACGGGGGCCTGAGTGCCGGCTTGCCGACGTCGAAGCTGAACGAGTGATGATTGTTCAACCCGCAACCGGGCTTGCCGTTCTTCTCTTGAAGGAGCAGCTCCGCTGGCGTCGAGCTACTTCTCGATCCCTCCAGCTCCAGGTCCTCCTCGGACACCACAGACACCTCGATCTCCGTTTCGCCCGACATCGTCGACGCGCGTCCAGCGAGCCAAGGTCCGGGAATCCCCGTGCACGGCACGATCGTCTCCAGTCCCTCGACCGTCCCGTCACCGGTCACACGCGACTCGTCACCTCTTCCACTTAGCACGATCGTCCCGTCGCCCGTGTCACCCTCCCGTCAGAAGCTCGCCGCCGGCTCCGTCGACGTTCCGACGGCCCAGCAGAGTCTGTCCGACACGCGGAGCGGTTCCAGTCCTTCGCGTCGCATATCAGTCCAACCGTGTCGGCGCTGATTCTCCGTTCTATCTAATGTGCACCTCGCGTCGCCTCCGTCGGCCGGAAGTCCCTCGTCGTCGTGGATCGGAGACGGATCGCTCGATCGCGCGACATTCGTAAGCGATACCCTGGACGACAGGATGATAGGAGACAAGACACTTTGGAGGGCCCACCCTTCTCAGAACTCACCCGCTCTGACCACCCCTCTCGTCCTTCAATCTATCCACCCCTTCCCACCTACGTGCATGTGTGCGTGCGTGTCAGCACCTCCTATCGCCGCCCACCGGTCCGACACCGTAGCTTCGCTCCTCTCCTCGGCTCTCCTTCCCCTCTCGGTGCTCTGTTCGCGAAAACGTTGCTGTGGCGTGTAAAACCGCGAAGAGTAACAACCGAGTCACTTCCTCGAGTCACTTTCTCTGGCCGTTGATCGTTAATCACTCGTCCACTCGCTTCCACCGGGGATCTCGCCGTTTCTGTCCGCGATTCGGATCCACCGAGTCTCCGGGAATGTCGTCGTGCGTCTTCCGCTTTCCGGCTGGACGCGGGTACGCGCGGTACGGCGGGCACACTCGCTGGCGGTTAGCTCGCGACGTTGTAGCGGAGCAACGCGAGAAAACGATTCACCCACGAGCGCGCACCGAACACTCTGCGATCGCGTTTCGTGGCGAGTGATGGACTGCGGATGGGCCGCTGTGCTCGCACTAAGGGTAGGAAAACGCCGTAGAAACCACAGGTCACACGAACGAGGGCCTTGCTTGAACATTCGCGCACGCAGCCGGAGAGCACGGAGACAGGGGGCAGGCGGCGGTAACTCCGAGTGGTGTGGGCAAGGGGGTACGTCGCGGGTGGGAAAGAGACGGCGTAAAGATCGAGACTGCGCGGAGGAGAAGGACGGAACGACGGAGTCACGCTTCGAGAGTCACGGGGTGGTAGTTGCGCGTCGGATAGATAGACTACCGAAGGACGGACGAAACGGGCCGAAGGGTAGCGGCGGAAGGGAGAGGCACGAAACGGGACGGAGACGGAAGGGTGGCCCCGCGCGCGCTGGAGGGGTAGGCGAGGGACGGCTATAAGCTGGAAGTTGCCAGAAGGGGTGTCGTTGTTGGAGGGGCGACGGGCGGGGCGGAGCAAATGGCTCTCCGAGGGGGATGGATCTCGCGATTTCTCATAGGGTGGTGGCGCGATCGATGACTCGTGGCAGAGTGTATCCGGCACGGGGGTAGCCGTAGGTGCGGGCCAATCGCGTGAGCCGCGGAGTCCTTAACTCGAAAGATACTCGCCCTCGACGATCCTGCGGATCGCGGAATGGGGGTGGTTGCGGTGGTTTAGCGAGGCTACCTACCGTACCCCGAGTCCGGGGGCGCGGAGAGGGGGTGTGCGGAGAGTGGAAGGGGCGGGGGGGGGGGGGATAACACACAACTCCGCTGGTGGTGCCCGTGCCTGGCCGTGTTACTTATCCATTATAACACTCCAAGATCTTGATTTAAGCCTGCAGCCAGCGGTGAGCTTTTAACCAATTAGCCTTTATAGCCTACCCCCCTCGGCGCGCCCCCCCCCTCCTGCGTCCTCGCCCCTCGTTTCCAGTCGTCGTTTCCCCTCTACCCCTCGCGTTTCAGCTTCGCGGCAGTCTATTTCTCTCTCCCTCGAGCTCGGTCCCTCTGGCTTGCTACCCCGTGGCACGATGGTAGTTGCCGTACCACCTATATCCGTATTCTATACTAACGTCCTCGCCGCAGTCGCGCGATGTACCCACCTAATCTACTGGTTCTCTCCCTTCCACCTCGTTCCCCCGTACCTCTCTATCTGGTTACCCGCTATCCCGGTAGCTCCCTCTTTTTCCACCCATCCGGCCCACCTTTCTCGCTCTCTATAACCACATGCATTATGCGCGTCGGTGTATCAGAGCCGCGTATTCGCGCGTACAAATACCCCGAGCACGTAGCCGGCCGCGAGGGGGGAGAATGGGGGGCAGAGTTTCTCGTACCGAGTCGGGAACCCCCGAGTCGTACAATCTCCCCGTCCGTCACTCGCCTACCCGTGGAATCCTTGAGCGAGCTTAAATACGGCGTCGGGTGACGGAAATTAAGAGTGGAGCCCGCGACTGGCTTTTCCTTTTTCTTTCGGGGGCTGCTCTTTGTTCGGCGATGGCTCGTCGATCTTTTCGAGGCTCGGTTGGAGGAGGTGGTCCGCGGAACACTTTGGGTGTCGGATTCTTAAATGATTTTATCGAGCAATTCGGGTAGAGGCGAGTACTGTGCCGGAGGTGCAGGATGAGGGGTAGTTTTAGACGGAGTTCTGATTTCCGATCGGAGTTGATGCTGGTGTTTTTTCTGAAAATAAAGAATGCATTGGTTACTGAGGCTTCTTGAGCTAGGTTTTTTAGTTGTAGGAATGATTTCATGATGAGAAGTTTAGGTTTTATGCGATGGTCTTGAAGCTTCTTGAGGGGTAACTTTGAGGGTGATGAAACCACGTGTTGGAGTTAGAGGAATTGCGCCAGGGAGAAGGATATGGAAATTGATGGAAGCAAAGGAACAACGAGAAAAGAATTATAATGTAATAACGTAACAGAAGACCTGTTCGGAACCAACAAAAATATACAAGGTGTTTGTTCCAGATTTGTTTTCAGCCAAACTTTGTCAGCAAGTTCTACACACAAATCTAAGAAAAAGATGTTATATGAACATATGCTCTTAAATGTCTTATTAAGGACTTATAACTAATAATACAAAATGATAATGAACCTGTATTTTGTCGACACAGCGTACGAACATTTCATATAACACTTTTTTCTTACTTTTGCCTGTAGAACACGCTGGCAAAGTTTGACTTAGAAAACCACCCTGTATGTCATAATATCAAGTTGCGTATAATAACATCGTCCATCACCGAAGAGGATCACAAATGATCGAACCGTCTCCAATAAAATACTTGAAAAAAGCCACCTAATTCTCATGCAATGAGCAGCCATCGAATCTATCGACACTACTAAGTCCACGCTTATAAAATAACGTTGTCGTTAGCCAGCGATAAAGATTCGCCATTCAGAGCGGTGTTCTCCGCGTCCCACCCGGGCGTCTCTTCAATGGGGCGATCACTGGATCCTTGATTCACCAGACGCGGCTAACGAGTCCGAGAGGGGCTCCTTTAACGATCCTTTCAGAGTCAAGTTGACAAAACGCGGGAGGTGCGTGGCATAATGGGCCGGGTCTGGCTGGTCCGCTCGCGGATCCAAACCGGAAGGCCACAAAAGCGCCTCAAAGCGACTGGATTTCGCGTCGGGCAGGGACTGAAAGAGGGGCCGAGGGGGTCGGTGGAGGAAGTAACGCGAAAGTAGGAAAATGATTACACGGCCAGCGGCGTAGGCGAGCGGTAAAAGGGTCAAACGCGCGCGTTCTGCTCACGGAGAACGCCAGCCCAGGAGGATGAAACGCGACAAAAGCGTACCACCCGTGTCCCTGTCCCTCTGTCAGCCCTTCCAGGTAACGAGAAACCGTTGACCAGCCCCAAGAAACGCGAAACGAATCCGCAGAGCGGCGGGATAGGCAATCGTTCGAAAATTTTTATCGAGAAACTACGAGGGACAGTGCTCGTCCACTGTACAGAACTCAAGTTTATAGTGGATTATTTAATTAGTAACTGTTATATTATACTCATCGCTTGTTTTATCATTATGCTATATCATTTTCTGTTTCGAAAATGTCTAGTCGTCCGTCATATCTACATATGTACATAGTAAATAGTTATTTCTTGACGTGTTCTTCACATATGTTTTAAAGGTTATAAATAAAAATTAATTTGGTTTTAGAGAAGTTTTTTTAGCGAGTAATACCCCTGTTCGATAAATGCGTTTTTAAGTGAAAAATGGCCCAAAAATATGGCAAGGTCGGATCCGACCCAACCCCAGTAAATGTGTGATCAGAAACCACCGCAGGAGAGGAGGGTTAATTTACACGAGAGAGAGGGCTCGCTAACGAATAATCGCAACACACTACAAACAAACCTTTCGCGCTACAAATTTTTGCAAACTTCTCTTGAAACGTTACCTCGGCTCAGTAAAAATTTAAGCAACACCCATCCACCGGTTCGGTTGATAAAAATTCCCAAAGCAGCGCAAGTTTTCCAAACATACATTTATTTACAACGAAAACAAAATTCCCTTTCGATTAGAATTCCAAAAGCAACGCGTTTTCGACAGCGAGACCGCGGAATGCGAAATCGGTAGCCGCTTAAGAGATTTCGCGGGAGGGTGCACGACGGCTGCGTCGATTCCTAGGACGTCTCCCTGCCCCCCGTACGTCTCCGGAACACTTTTTCGTGCCTACGCGCAATACTAGGGACGTGGCCACGGTCGAGCCTTGTGTTGTCCGTATTTTACTTTGTGCTCGGTGCGTAAGAGGATTATATCCTCCGCGTGGACGAAGAACAGTCCACGGGAGGGGGGGACTGCGACAGAGACGGTCTCGCAGGAACGATCTCGGTAAGGATCGACGGAGAAAGAGAGAGAGAACAACTTGATGGGGGGGGGGGGGTAAGAAGATACTGGAAGAAGACAGAAACGGCGGCAGGGTGAAAAGGGAGGTAAGTGGTGGGTATGCTTCACTTTTCACGGGGGCGCCATTGTTCCCTATTATCCGGCGTGATTAGTCGATGATGCAGGTAAGCTACCGCGGGGGGTCCCCATTATACTGCTGAGAGAACTACTCGCTCATCCGCGAACTGCGTGAGTTCCGTCGGAATATTGCGACCATCCTGCGAGCAGCTCTCCGTCTCCCTTCGCCTACCCTCGTTCCCCGTCGTTTCATCCCTGTTCGACGCAAGGAATCCCTGTCGGAGAGATCGGTATTTCTGAGTGGTCCGGTGCGGTCCCATCTCCCTTCCTCCTTCGTCGTCCTGCTCCTTCCTTCCACGTGGAGGCGCGCCCTGCATCTAACCGGCTGTCGACGAATCGGTTGCCGCCGACCTGCTGTGAAATTTATACTCTTACACAGGGCCGCAACAATGATCGTCGGCCGTTTTTGCACGGCCGATTTGTATTATCGTTTACCGAGGGCCGCCCTTTATCCACCGTGAACGCGAATCTGCTTTGCCGAGTAATTAGACCGTGGCCCGTCTCTCTTTCACCGTTCGACACACCTGGACGATCGATTTCAAGTCGATTTCGCCAGCTCGAACCGTTTGGAGAACATACACAGTTTTTTTTAGGACACCTCGAGATGGGAATACGTACGTTAACGAGTATAGAGGGACAGTTTTGGTCATGGGAGCTGCGACTCCCTGCGCGCGTGTGTGTTTATAGGTGTGTTTGGAAGAGAGGGGGCTGAATATGAAAATTCTTCATGGGAAGGGAAATCGAAAAGTTCCTTACCATTTTGGAATCTGTGGTTTCGTTTAGGAGATGCGACGAGTCCGTTGTTAAGGGTTGCGAAAGATAGTATACTTAAATAGTCAAATAATCATGAGTTTAACATTAAACCTACCACGACCGGTACAAATGACTGTTTTAAGATTGTTGTATACAGTTTTTATATGCTTCTTATGAATTGTGTGCAATGGTTTCATTCATTATTCAATCTAGTTTCACTTAAAATATTTTTGCATTTCGTTAGACAAAGTGTCTCTAACAAATTTGTTCCATCGCAATAGTTATAAACGAACCTGGGTAAATTTAGTGTTAATATGTAATCCACAATGAAAACACCTCCATCTGTAATAAATCGTCATGTTTGCATAGGAAGATCCTCGACTCCTCAAGCATCCAAGTACTGTCCCAATATTCAACTACTTTAATACTAAATCGAGTGACAAATTCGTCAAACATTTGAATCGCAAAAATTCTCGAAGATCATCACTAAAAAAAAAGTCTCTGATATTTAATCTTCGATTGCCAGTCCGCGAATCGTAGATCGAATCGATCTAGCCAACGTCCGTT